CCGAGAGATCATGGCAGCCCCCCATCCCCCACGGGATGGAAAAACCGCTAGTGCTCTCAACGTACGACGGAACCTCGAATCCGGACGACCACCTGGAAGACATCGAGGCTATGCTCGACTACCGAAATGTCCAGGGAGCCATCAAGTGCAGGCTCTTCCCAACGACCCTAAGAAAAGGAGCTATGACGTGGTACAAAAGCCTAGAACCAGAGTCTGTTACGTCGTGGAAGGTCCTGAAGGACCTGTTTTCGCGACACTTCACGGCATCCAGACGCCACCCGAAGACAGAGGAAGCGTTGGGCGCGATCATCCAGGCCCCCGACGAGCCCATCAAGAACTACATTGAGAGGTTCACGAGGGAGGCGTCCAGGTGACAACTTCTGACGAGATGAAACGTTACCTGATGGAGCAGGGGCTACTCCGAGATTCAAAATTCTACGAGGCTGTGGCCATCCACCGGCCAGACTCACTTCAAGACTTCCTCGACAGAGCTCATCATTATATCCGGTTCGAGGAGACGCAGGCCGCCAACACCGCCCGCGACACCCGGAACAAAGAGACTCCCCAGGGAATCCGAGACGAAGGGACCTCGGGCCAACTCCGCGGAGGGGACAAACGACGAGAAGACCGCCCCCGAAAACCCCGCGAACAACAGGGTCCCGTCGGACGCTTCACCAAATACACGGCGCTGGTCGCTTCCCGCGAGCGTATACTGGCGGAGTGCGCCAACTCAGAGTTCGTCTGGGGAGGTGTCCGCTTTCCAAAACCGGCACCCACCAAAGCCAACGTGGACAAATCTTAATACTGTCGCTTCCACCGAAGCCACGGCCACGTGACGGAAGACTGCATCCATCTGAAGGATGCAATCAAAATTCTGATCAAAGACGGGCATTTGAAGAGGTACACACGGGGTGGGGACCCACCACGACAGGAGGCCCCCGAGGCTAAGAAAATCGAGGACCTCCCTCCTCCCCACGATGACTCCGGCCTACAGGTAGCTCTCATCGTTGGCCGACCAGAGGACTGGTTTGCCCTAAGAGAATTCAGCCTCCCCGCCGAGCTTCAATTACCCGAGGAGCCGGTTCGCCCCACCAGCCGGTGGGAATACTTCCCGAGGGAAATGGTCATTTCCGACGGGACCCCGAGCAAACTCTCAGTGGGATCAGTTAAGCGGAAGTTTGACGAGCTTGTGGGCAACAGCTCCGGCAAGATGAGCACCCTTGACAAGTTCCGAGGTCGATCTAACCCGATCACCTTCTACGTCGAGGAGCTCCCGAGGGGATCCCCAGACTCAAACATTCCCCTTTTGATCCGTGCATAGATCGCCAACTTCGATGTCCGACGCATCCTGGTCGACGGGGGAAGCTCGGTGGACATCATGTACACCCATCTCTTCGCGACACTTCAGCTCGACGAATCCAACTTATCCCCCTACCTAG